ACGTTCTAGACAAAAACATGTACCAGGTAATACACATAGTGTTGTTCTGTTTGTATCGCTGGATGGCGAGGTTCGATGAAGCACTGAGGAAGCACCAGAGTGACACCTGTAAAATCACCTGGGTTTGTAATTAAGGCAGGTGTAATTACCTGGGTTTTATCAAGGTATTTCATCACCTGATGACAATACCCTGTGGCCACATCAAACGATGGTGTCCATGGCGACAGCATGTTGTCAAGGTATTGGTATTATTTTCATTGTGTAATATATTTTTTTGACTTTGTTTGACGTAAAAAGAAATTCTCACTTAAATTGACATGTTCTATGAATTGTTTATTTCGCATACGTCATCACGACACCTCCCACGATAAAACACGTCTGTTAGCGTAATTTATACAGTAAGAACAATCGGTATACATTTACTAAAACATTTCTATAATTGTTCTTAGAATTTTATCGATAATTGAAGTGTTTCTCTTTAAACTAGCTTAATTTTCAATCATTTTTAGGTTGGAATATAAAAAAATATATCATTTTTTCAGGAGGAATGTAGTAGTTCAAGAGGTCTTTTTTTTCTCTCAATACACTGGACATTTTATCTGCATTTGGTTCACAATAACTTCAGCTGACATTGCCAACCAAACCAAAGCCCCTCAATCGTGCACTTGTCCCTACCAGTATCCGAGCCTGTTTTTGAGAAACTTGTTGATGGTTCTTAACAGGCGGTGTCACCTCATGTAAACTGTTTATTTTACAATAATTGTGAAACAACTCTTCTAACATTAATGCGGAAGGCAACCAAAGTATTCAAAGAAAATCCTTACGGTCGGGTAGGTGACCCCTTTACCAATACACGTCCGATCTGGGAATCGAACCCCAGCAGACTTGGTGAAAGGCCAGTGCTTTATCCATTGCGCCCACCTGACCACCTTTTTCACTGCACCTATCAGGATTCACATTTATCTCATTTAGGTCAAAGGTATAAGATTAAGGAAAAAATCGTTTTGTTTCAAACCGTGAATAATATGATTTGTACCACAACACAGTTGTAATCTTACCCATTTTTTCTGTAATCTGATTATGCCCACCCCTAGATTGTACAGAGGAAAATGATGTGGAAGTACAAGAAAGTAGACAATTGGTATTGTTTTCATTCCGTAAACCTAATTGACCCCCATAAGTCACTAACAAGCCCTGTACAGGTGTTGATGATCACAGGTAGAACGTGAGGGACACGCACATAGTATCCATTGTAGGTTAATTACCCTGATGTTCATCCACATTATCTGTCCATCAGCTGGCCAGTGGGGATACCTAAATCTGTCTGTTAGTGGAGCAATGGGGGATGAGTAAGTCTGTCCATCAGCTGGCCAGTGGGAGGATGAGTAATTCTGCAGGTATGACCATTAGGTATGCCTTACAGGTATGACCATCAGATATATATCTTACAGGTATGACCATCAGATATATATCTTATAGGTATGACCATCAGGTATGTCTTACAGGTATGTATTTGCACTGCACCTTTTCCTCACCTTTGCCTCAGCTCACAAAGGGTTTAAACTGATGTTTAGATGAAGTTTAAGATCACACCGGAGACTGTTAATATTTTGCTAGTTTTTCTGATGTTATCTGTAACAATCTAACAACAAAAATCACTAACTGGTTACCTGAATGCCCTTGACCTTTATTTCTCAGTTACCTGAAACAGGATTACCTAATAGTTAGTTGGAGTACAATTTTCTTGTGATTACCTGGAAGTTACCTCAAGTACATCTTTTGTTTCCATTGCAAAGATTGAAAGGTCAAGGTCAAGGTAAAACGTGTTGTTGTCGTGGTAACTATGGGAAGAACCACAGAATTAGATTGCTATCTAAGTCCGTAGAAGAACATTGTATTTCCTAAAAGACACTGTTGAGGTTTGTTTTTAAACAATTAATCTTACTGCAGGTTTAAATTGGATTAAAGAATATTAACACTAGAACTACAGGTGAAAGGCTATCTCCTACAGATCCCAGACGAGGACCCCACCTGTAAGCTAGACATGACGGTTGAGGGGCCCATATCAGCCCCCTAAATACTTCCCCCCCTGTGATAGGTGATGTCATACTGAGCCTTGTCGGAGCCCACCCTATCTAGATAATCACACATTGATCAATTTGTCTGATATTAGCCAAGTGATACCTTGTCCATTCACAAATTTAAATTCCAGGCTTTTGTTTCTGGCAGGCGTATATGTCCCTGTGCTTGCGTTTGCCTGTGGTTTCTATCAACTCATCCAAGTGTAGATCCATTCACCTCACTATCTGATAGGGGGACAACTGTGAAACAATTCACGGCCCTCAAATCAAATTCTTCAAATAGCTCATCATTTAATGACTAATACAGGCCAAACTTTTTTGTTGTTGTTGAACATTTGTTAAAAGCACACTCCTTATTGTTTAGCTAGAGCTTGTGTGAGGAAAAACGGAAAATAGGTCTGATATTAGGTAAATAGACAATTAAGTTACTGGACATCTGGTGAATAACATGTTGATGTAGTTTGGACTGAAAATACCTGGTTTTACTTATGATGATAGACCCGTACCTGGTCTCTGAGAATACATGTTATAAAAGTATGATAACAGAACCATACTTGGTCTCAAATTCATGTTTTAAAAGTATGATACCAGAACCATACCTGTTCCAAGAATAACTGTTTTATTGGTATCATAACATAACCATACCTTGTGTCAGAATACCTGTGTTATAGGTATGATAACAGAACCATACCTGGTCTTAGAATACCTGTGTTATAGGTTCAAAAACAGAACCATACCTGGTCTTAGAATACCTGTGTTATAGGTATGAAACTGAACCATACCTGGTCTCAGAATACCTGTGTTATAGGTATGATAACAACCATACCTGGTCTCAGAATACCTGTGGTATAGGTATGATAACAGAACCATACCTGGTCCCAGAATACCTGTGTTATAGGTATGGTAACAGAACCATACCTGGCAGTTTTTAGGTTCAATAATAGATCACACCTGATCTGAGAATAGATGCGTATGGTAAATATTTTCTCATTACAGGTAATCCAATGTTTTTTCGACTGTAAGGTAACACTTTCACACAAACAGGTGTTTCAGACCAATAAATTATTCAAGATGTGGATAGTAGTTTGATGTTCCACAGTTTTTGTAAAAAGAAAAATCTTGCTTCTTCATTCTGAAATGTTACAGTGCATGTTCTAGAAACTTTGGTGTAGATTTTCTTTGGCCCAATGGAGNAACGGATTGCCAACATACCACAATATATGGCTTGTTTTCACGTTTTTGTGTGAAAAACGATGATATTTCAAAGGCTCTAAATTCATCACGGTATCATAATTTTATGAAAGTCTATCATCTGCTGCTTGCGTTTTATTGATTGCGGCTTCTCTATTTCTCTTGATTTCACGTCACATCACCTCCTGTAGGGAGAGTCTGATCAGGCAAATCTTCCAGCCTAAAATACCACTTTGATCAGAATTCCTCTTTGCATGTAAATTTACACTGACTTGGCATCCTCAAAGACATCCCTGTGGGTCTCTGTAGGTGTGTAGAAGGAGGAGGTGTCATGGCACCAATGAGCACACCATGGGGGGGCCATCTCCCCAACACTTCCATCAGAGCCGTCCAGGGGGCCATCTCCAAACACCATCTCTGACCTACAAGGAATATGACTCTACTCTGTCATTTTGGCTGCCAGACAGGCAGAACTTTTGGTGATTCTGTGTGGCAATATTATCATCCATCAATGTAGACCGTTCAGGTTCGCTAACAATATGGCTTCAGAAACTGAAAGTGCCAAAAATCCATTCATGAAATATTGAGTAGGTTGCGTATAATTGTACACCAGTGCAGATATATTATGACTGATGTCAGAAAACTGTACTAAATAATTCAAGGATCCAGAATACAATAAAACATTGTGTCGATATTTTAACTTGTTTCTAGGTAATCTTATTACAGTAAATTGATTCCCCCCAACACGACTATTTTTTACCGATTTCAATTAGATAATTACTTTAATGGTCTGTTATAAATCTAATCGAAGACATCAATGTAATTTGTTTTTTTGTCATAATAGTATTTCTATTGTGTGAGTTGATGCCTGAATGAATCAAATAAAAAAAAAAAGCATTATTAGCATTACAAGCAATTACAAGCAAAATTATCACTTCTTCAAATGGAGACTCAAGTTGTCTTCCCTTCACTTTTGGTTTGTCAAATCATGTGTTGGTACTTTTTTACTTAAGCCAGATTACAAGTTTTTTGTTTCAAGGCCTTGAATTATCTTTTGCTCCTCCAGAAAGAAATAACTTAGTTCTACAAATATGTCCACATACTTATACAAATATGTGGGTCGGTTATGTGACCGGGACTTTAGTCTGGAATGTTTCCTGACAAAAGCCACATAATGAACATTTATGATAGACAATGGGGCTTACATAACAGAACCTTGTCTGATACCCTGGTATACCTATCCACAACACTAATCAGGTGTCAGTGGCATCCAAGACAAGGATAAACAAACAAATAAATATTTCAATGGACGTTCATTGTCTTGTATCCTACATAACTGCAGTTCATTGGTCTATAAGGACATGTCTTACATTGTACTGTTGGTGGTATGTCTGCTTTATTGATATCCGTGATATTTATTGACATAAGCTTTTTTGACATACAGCCTTCATTGATATAAACTTTATTGACAAACAGCCTTCATTGACATACAGCCTTCATTGACATACAGCCTTCATTGACATACATCCTTTATTGACATACAGTCGTCATTGACATACAGCCTTCATTGACATACACTTTATTGACGAACAGCCTTCATTTACATACAGCATTCATTGACATACATCATAATTGACATAGATCTTTTATTGACAAACAGCCTTTATTGACATACATCCTTTATTGACATACAGTCGTCATTGACATAAAACCTTCATTGATATAAACTTTATTGACAAACAGCCTTTATTGACATGCAGCCTTCATTGACATAAACTTTATTGACAAACAGCCTTCATTTACATACAGCATTAATTGACATAAAGCCGTCATTGACATACAGCCTTCATTGACATACATCATAATTGACATAGATCTTTTATTGACAAAAACTTAATTGACATACATCCTTTATTGATAGAAGCTAAATTGACATAGCATTTATTGACATACATCTTAATTGACATACATTATTGGTCGACATACAACCTTTATTTGCATTAACTTAATTGACATACAGCCTTCTTTGACATACACTAAATTGACATACATAATAAATATTACTATAAATAGGTGTCCTTATTAAAGATGAACTTTATTGACAGGCAACCCTAATTGCCAGACATCCCTTTATAATAGAAGATATTCTTGATTGTAAATTGGCTTAATTGACAGTTGCCGTTTATAATTGGATAAGCTTTGTTAATATGTGGTCCTTCTTGACAGGTGTTCCTGCTGATTGTTCATCCTTTTTGACAGATGACCTTTGTTGTTATTTTTTTCTCGTTGACGATTGTTCTCTGTTGACAGCTGACGACCTCTGTTGACAGTTGCCATTCGTTATTAGTTTGCTCAGTTCGTCCGTATCTTTGAAAAAACTGCTGAGAACCAACACATTCAAAGAGTTCCCCATTTCCTGTCGGATGTCTCCACGCCTGGCGAAAGCCTACAAATAAAAACATTATTACAATTGCAAAGTATATCACCCCAAAAACCGTCAGTTATTAAATGAAGCGAATAACTGATTTATCCGATTGCATCATATTTGACCTTCTGACCTCACAGTTCTGCCTCTTCATTGGCTTAGCAGTCGGCTGCTGATACTGAGGCCTCTGAGATCCCTATTGAGGGTAAATACAACAGTTGTAATCACAGATAAGGCTTGCTATCATAACAAACCGGCCTGCTCCAGATGTTTCGATATTGTTGTACCAGTAGGGGGACACGGTACGCCATTACTATTTAACATGCGCCTATCGGCAGTCAAGTCTTGGCTAGAACATTCCTCGGTAGAAATTTTCCCACAGTATTCACTTACACATTGCATCAGGGTTTTAAATACTCGCGATCCTTAGTAAGGCCAGACCTTTAAAACACCCACCCACCTCAGTATCAAGATACACATTACGGATCAGGGAAAGGATCACGGCAAAATGTCATTGATATACCACTGAGAAAATCCTAATAGCTATTGATGATCTATTTATAAACATTACGGGGTTACGAGTATATTAAACATCAACACCTTTAGAATGTGTTTGAAGTTTGGTTTCACATGTAAATAGCATGGTCATACAAACCTCCCTGATATATGTGACTCAAGCGCTATCCGGAAATATTTACAGAACATCTCTCTTGTGTCGCAATCAATGAAATCATGGGAAAGTTGGGCATTTCATCTTTTTTTTCAATGAAAAAGATAAACGAGAAAAGAAATTGCAAATACCAGTGTTTTTGGGTTTAACGAACCTCGTGATGGATGGTTCAGATAGTTAGTGACATCGAGTGTTGACCGCATCCAAAGATCATAAAACATTTAGATGTACCAGATCAATTGGGTGAGATTTCATTACTTACCTCACGATAACGGGGAAAGCAACACAGACACTGGGAAGATAAAATTTGTCATTGGGAGGTAATAAATGACTGGTCCCCCCCTCAAAAGATGCGTGCTGCTTTACCCCCTCCCCACAACATGTGCCTAACATTCCTGAGCTTACTGTGGGAAAATCGCTGGTCTGTAGGGTTGACATAAACTTAAAAATAGATTGCTCGTTTATAAATTGTATATATTTCTCAGCGTGATCTATGTGTGGTAGATCGGTCTGTTCGATATATTGCATCACGTAAATATGGTCAGAAATAGACAAAATGTATGCTTTGTCGTTGTTGAGATTCAGTTTGGTTGCTCGGGATGAATTCGAAGAGGACGTTTCTATCTAGAAAGGTAAAGGCGTAGGAAAATGTACGAGGCCTCATTTACACGAACATTCTTAACATAAATTAATTCTTTAACTTAAGTTTTCAGTAGAAAATCATTACTGAAGATAAGGAGATTTTTCTTAGCAAACGATTCCTCTTTAACTCCAATAATGCTTTCGTTAAAGGCAGTTCAGGAACGTTCGTGAAACTGAACCCAGATTTAGCTCAGCCGGTGAGTGTTTGTGTACACCTAAGGAGTTGGAATGTGATATGTCGGTGTGTATAGAATATTAAATATTTAATAATTGAAAAATTATGGATAATGAGACTGTCTTTTTTTTTTTTTTTTACTTTCGTGAACACGAAATGACATACACAGTAAAGAGCGTGACATCGATGAAAGAGAATCGAGTGATAAATGATTGAAGACGAATATCTAAATAACATAGTCGACAGCAATACGGCTGGATTTAACACTAATTGTGGTTTCACGTGTATAGAGGCTTGACTTATGGGAAATTAAGTGGCATTCGATGTTAGCGATACCCTGGGACGGTAAAGAAGTGAGGAGTTTCGAATGACGAAGCGTTCGGCTCCGTTGTCATGTCGTACTGTTTGGGGAAGTAGTAGTTTACAGTAACAGTTTCCGTGTCAAACAAATCAAGATCGAACGTCGATAAACTTGCGACATTACAGCTATCAGTATTGCCATTGTTTCTGATCACATGCATCAGTACAAAGCCCCCAACTCCCCGGCGATCTAACCACTGCCGTTTACGCCCCAGTGACTCTCCTCGGTCGTGTTTCGTTGTCTACAGATTCATATTGCTCTCAAGGTCAAACACCCTGTCAACTGGTTTTAACTTCACTTAACCAAATTAATGAAAACATTGGATGGTTTGGTGTCATTATTTTTTTGTTATTTATCTATTTACCAATGTGTATCTTCAAGATACCATCCATGTCATTTGTTTTTGGGCACGTCCTCTAGAAGCCAGGGATGTTTGACATAGCTGACGAGTGTTGATTGACTAATCTGTCTTTGAGGTGCCGTTTAAATGTTTTGTTCTAACATTCAAAGAGTGGGGACATGCCCAGCATTGTCCTGGCATACCTACCTGCATTAGTTAAGTGTTATATGTGGCTGTTTCTAGAAACACAAACAAGCGTCCATTGTTCTTTGTAATATGCTCATGTAATACACCAGTTTAATTTTAGACCTTGTTAATCAAGGCTGTGGATTTTCGTTGAGAAATAGTTTATCATAGAAGGAAATCGTTTTCCGTTCGTTTTAATTCCCCGACTTGGAACACTTTGTTAATTTACATTAATCACAATCGGTGACTGTGAGTCTGTGTTGCAAATAAGTCAACTTGAATCAGTGGACTTTTGTCGGTCTGTGTGAATGGGTGAATTGTCGAACGGTGCGTCGTGCCATTATGTAAATGAATGGTCTAAGCTTCAGACACGGTAAGTAACTCTGATATATCCCTCGGAGACCCAGACATTGTTGCCGAAAATAAGACATTATAGATAACTAACGATTTCAACTGGCCATGTTAATGGGAGAATTACTTCCGGAACAGCGAAGCCAGACGGCTATTTGGTTGAGACAATTCGCATCACTCGTCTTTAGTCACATAGTTCGCACAGAAATACCGAAGGGGAATTATGTGAAACTTCACATATAAATGTTAGCGTTTACGTGTCGAACGTCAAGTATTGAACCGGATTTTTTTGTGAACGAAGTTTTTATGTCGCTCATTCACTTTTTTATCTCATTTGTCACGTTTTGTGTTCGGCATTCTAGTGTGTAGCTAGCATTTCCAATAGACATTCGGTTTACACCTTGGGATCGCTTTAGTCACGGAAGAAAAACAACATCAAACTTTTAATTTATTTTGTCATTTGTGTTAGTCAAAAGAACTTGTATTGCGTTCATATTTTGTAACCATTTTGTCGTGATAGAGTCATTCTCTCGTGCGAGGAACGGTCTTGGTTCTACAAATATGTTTTCATTTGTAAAGAAGTTTTTAAATGTTTAGTTTTTTTATTAGAATACACTCGATCTATAGAAGTAACTGAATTCGCAAATATTTAGAAAAAAAAATTCAAACACGTTTTTGTGGCGTTATCTGTATCAAACATTATTGACTCGACGACTGTTTGGTCAAACTAAAAACAAGATTATACAGTTGATCCTTTCTAACGGGCTCCGACATTCAGTGCCAAATCAGAACTTGGTATCGTGAACACATGCTGTTTTATCCTTGTCCTACTCCAAACTCTGCGTCTTCGCCCTATATGAGACCCAGTAATTGCCTTGTTTGTGTCTCCGTGTGTCCTTGTTTGGATTTAGGGGTCTGTTTGGGTACGGTAGGTTTTCGCCTGGTGTATCTGTTACTGGTCACACGTACCTTGCCGTTCGTTTGATCACCACACACTGGGACACACGTTTAACGCTATCGTCAAGTTACCTGTTTAGTGTGTAATGAAAACAATTTGAAAGCTTTCATGGATTTTCATGATATTAAACCATTCAAAATATATTTTCTCTATATCTTTCAGGATCTTCCCTGGATTGAAAAGGCAAACAGAAAAAAAAGTAAGACTAATTTTCCACATATCTTGTTCCTTCAGTCATAAAATATATCGGAGTTACCTCCCTTTAAACATAAAAGACCAACGCTGTGTGTGTGTGTGTGTAGTGGGTGACCGTTATTATTTACGTAACTAAAGATACAATCCTATGTTGGACACTTTTATTGTAAATATTTTCGTCTTTATCAGGACTATCGGTGCTAGTGGGTCTATAATGACGTATGGTCACCTATTTAAGAGCGAGACGTACATACATTCAGTTTTCCTTGAGTATCGTTAGCTTACCTCCTCAACTTTTATTGTGAAAAGAAAAACGTATGTCTTGAAAATCTTCACACGATATGTATCTTCCATGTTGTATTTGTGCCATAAACGATTATCTTTCAATTATAAAATGATTTTCGGTACTTTTGGACAAAAATATCGCTTGCGCTTTCCACCATTAAGCTAACTAGGGCGCTGGTCCTCTGGGCGGGACGTGTTATCTTATCTTGGCCCGAACTGTCAACTCTACCAGGAATGGTTTGGCATAGTTGTGGCCAGACCACGAAGTCAGGAATCGGGAATGTCCATATTTACACCATATTTGCACGTACTGTTCGAAAACTACATTAACGTGCATTAGCACTGATAAAACTTAGAGACCATGGCTTGGTGACTGTGGTCACCCTTTTGACAGGCGAACCAACAGATCAAAATATCCCCTCCATTCCCCTCAGCGCTAATGGGAAGGCCGCCGTACGTTGGGGATTCCCTCCACCAAACTAGCTCCTTACTTTTTTCCATGAGTGTTATATTCGGATTCCTTGTCATAGTTTATTGTTTATTGGGTAATTTTCATTATGACAATACTTTTTACCCAGCGCAATTTCGCATATCTGCCTTTGCCTCCTCAGGATAGCGAGACATTGGTGGTTCTGTCTCCCTCCAGGGAGTAACTCGACATATCAGACACTGTCTCGTCCCCGGGTCAACTTGATTTGTATGACATTATCCCAGGTCTAGTCCGTCCTCGTCGGGATAATTTGACGGTCCTCATTTCGTCTCTCCCCCAGGGTAACTGGACATATCTGACTCGTCTAACTCGAGTAGTGATAGTCTGAACCTTGTCTGTTGCCCGGGATAACGAGACAGGTCGGTCGTTTCGGCCAGTGCTCATTACCGGAATATAATGAGGATGCTTTGTAGTCAAAGACCATAGGGCCACTTTGATGGCACCAGCACCAGTGGCCAAAAGGACGATGGTGTGTTTCCCATCAGTTGGTCGTCACTGTCGCTTTAACTTACTGTACACACAGCTCCCCCGGGTCCTGGGTCCCCCTCCCTCCGCAAACAAACGCCGGTGTTACACGTGTAATACCAGAGACTTCAATCGAGGACCAAATCTGTGAATTTGGAACTTGTTACATTTCAAAGTCGTTTTAAGTTTCGGTATTTTGGCTTCATTGATAACAGCTGATGGTGTTAGTGCTGTAGCACGCGGGCACGGGGAGAGCACGAGCCAAGCGTATCAAATATCGCGTGAGAACGGTTCCCACGTGCTCCAGTCGGCCACAAACTGCTCCCAGATGGTTTAGTGTGCCGGGTAAATTATGGCTGACATTCACTCATGTTAGTAATTCGAAAATGAGTTGTAATGGACAACCGTTTTTCTACATCAGTGGCTGAAACAAGGCACTGCTTAGCGCCAGAATGCAGACCATTTCCCTTATCCCTTGATTACAAGAATCTTAACATCCTCTCCCCCCACTCCCTTAGCTTTAAATTCTCCCCCTCTCTAAGCTTTAAATAGCGAATAGTAAAATAAACTTAGGGAGGTTGACATCTTGACACTCCGGGATGCCATGACGGATTGTGGGCCTGTTTCTGTTGACAACAGGATTTTGACAAACTTGTTCGTCTGGCAGTTTTCATGATCTTGGTATAAACAGCGCAAAGGGATAAAACAAAACTGAGGATGTACTGTATGTTTTCACAAATAAATGGCTACGGATGATTGTGAGTTTTTTAATTTAATTAATTTTGAAAGTAAAAAAATGAAGTTCGACAATTTCCACCATCAACGCAATTGCGTTAGAGCGTGTAGCGGTACCCTTATGGTGTAGTTATGGCGGCCCTCTCCCGGTACCTAATTACAGCTCGCATATATAGCACGTTGGTTTTGTTTGAATTTTTAAATTGTGCGAAAGACTTTTAATATTTAATGAAAGATTGGAGTAAACTGGTTGGGAAGGTTGTGCGGCCTCGTTCCCATGGTCACACTAGTGGCGATCACACTTGTCGTGTCATCAATGTCCGTTAAGGAGACATTGTACGTCACCAGATCTGCCTTAAAGTGACAGAATTCGTCCCAACACTTTGCAATCAATTTCTCTTAAAGTGACACAATCTTTCAGAATACCATGCTGTAACCTTCTCTTCGTGACAAAATCCGTCAGTAGCTTCCCCNCCCCCTCCTCCCCCCTTGTAACCAGACATGCTATTTTTGCCACCTGTTCCGAACTATTTTAGAATAACAAGATTCTGGCAAAGTTTATTTTCAAAGTAAAAGATCGTTCTTTACCAGAAAAAACTCAAGTTCGATACAGAACAATATCATGGTCAGACAATCAATGGTCAGGTACCTGACAATAAATTAAAATAGGAAAGAACAGCTAAGCACCAAACCCTGGTGTGTGTGTGTGTTACGTACTTTACGGTCACCTACGTCACCATATGGCGTGGAAAAGTGAAATGATTATGTAATAATTCTCTCCTGGAAGAAACAAAAACCATCCCGAATTCATATTTTTTGCAGTTATTAAGTAAAATTACGTTTTCATCTCGGGTTTAATGACGTTGGAGTTTGAACGGAGATTGCGGGAGATAGGTTTATCTGCGACTCCGCTGTTTGTAGATCTGTTGCCCCGGGGGTAGAGAGACTCCTCGTCAGTTTACGATTGTACAGCATCCTCACACTTTGTGTGGGGTGCTCTGATAATATGGCTGGGTCTTATCAGTAGACGTATAAATACTTTATGGCGTACGTATGGAAAATTCTTTGCAATATCCCTTGATAACATGTTTGAAATTTCTGGCATCGGTTCGAAAGTTTTGCTAATGTTTGAAACTGGAATAGCTTTCATTTTCGATATGATGAAAATTATCCCTGCGGCTTCATGAATGAAATTATACCGTAAAAAAATCAACGTTATGATAAGGCTCACCTATCAAGACAGTGCATCGCTTAGCTTGCGACCTTTGACATAAAAACACCTTGGTGCACTTTTAAGCACACCCGGAAGCGAAAGTAGCCACTAGAACTCCAGGTAATCGGTCCAAAACTGTTGTTTTGTTTATCGCCTTTGATTAAAACAAAGTATCGCACTCCATGGTAAGTACTGTAAAAAAACATGCAACGAATGCCGCTATTTCTTATCGTATCCAACATTTTCCATATACGTTAATTTAGAAAATACGTCTGTTCATCTAACCGAAAACAACTTTCCGTGGACAGAGGGAAGTGGATTTTTCAGACATGTGGCGAACTTCGTATGACAGGCTGTACCAATCATATGGCGACAGAACGGAAGTTGACCTATTCAATTATATGGCATCTGGGTTTCGTCAGAGTATATACAAGGCTAAAGCGATATCATGCTTTTTTACTTACATACACGTCTGTACGCGTGCCATCTTAGTAGATTGACGAATCACAGGCGACTTTTCGTTTTTGAGTTTGCGCAGTAGGACCGGAAGTTGAGGACACGGCTAAAATTTAGCAACCACACGAACAGGTTTTATTGTTCTCGATGATTTTGAGTTTCTTATAAAAACGTTGAAGGGTATCAGTCTCAATAGCATGAACTGTGCTTTAAAACGTAACACTGACCCCCTTTATACCGGGGTCATAGTCGGCCCCTAAATTCAAAGGAGCAGCTGGCGAAGGCCTGGCCGTATGTCCGGGGGTCGCAAAGAGCCCTTTGTTATGGCCCGCTAGGCACCGCCATCCTCTGTAATGCAAATATCGCCAACACCTGTTGCACCACCGAACTGTGTGTCGGGTACCGGACAAAGCTCGGTCCTACCTGCTCATTTGGTATCCTTCAAAATGATCAAAATTCGCATTTTTTAAACTAGTGATAGCTATAAGTCCCCTGTCCTTGTGTATATCGGGCGGGTCTATCACCGTTTATTAAAACTTATAAGAACGTTTTCCCCTTGAATTTTATTCTTATACGGTCTCGAGAAAAACCGCATAAACCGGCTATTTATAGCCAACATACATTCGTAAATGACGTATAAGTCGGTCGGTTGACATTAATAGGAGTCCCTAGTTGTAGGTTGTGCTGTTCTAATACAAATGAGACACGGCAAAATATTGAACTTGATCTTTTACGTCGTAGCCAGTGTTGAGTCAACAGATACATTGTCCACCTATTTTTTAAAATAAAACGTGATGTATATGATTTTTTTTATAATTCCACGGTATTCATTTCAAAAATCGTTCTGAACTTTATCCAATATGCCATTCCTGTATAGACTGAATTTAGGGTTAATTTCTTCATTAATGTAATAATCTTCTGTATTGACAGACGACAAGTCGTTCAAGCGTACCGGAATCAGTTCGCGGAAAATTGTGTGTATTTCGACTGTCGGTATTATAAAGTCAAGTCCCGCGTTTAATATTCCCAGCTTACAACAACACAGGTAAGGATAACACCTGAGGTCCCCACTTACCTTCACCCAAACAATAAGAACACCTGTTGTGACCGAACGATGACGCGGTGTATTCAAAGTTTATTATCCGCACATATATATTCACCGCTCGGTCTAAGACAAAGAACTGCACTGTGACGCCATCTGTTGCCTGTTTGTTCTCTAAGATTTGTTTGTTTTACCGGTTACGGGGCCCGGGTGTTGTGGTAGAGTACCTGTAACGGGAAAGGGCCACGACCAGTACCGTTACTGTGGCAGATGGCTAAAACCTTCAGCAGGTGACAACGCCATGAATAAAAAAAATACAGCAAAAACATCCTGGATCGAAACAAAGAGTATTCGCGCCAAACGGGCCGGAATTATCGTGGCTCATCACTGGCGCATTCCGGCACAGAAGCCGGCCGAGGTATTGCGAGACAATTATAATATCACACAAAAGGATATGCTAATTATTACTCAATTGACATGCGCAGGTTGTCAGCGCGATATCTTGCCGTACGGCGTTTGTAGGGGATGGAGTGTGGGAACCTTCTCTCTGCTCCCCCTCATTAAAATTACCTCACTTTATTATGCAAATCAACGAAATTGTGGGGTATCCTTTCCTTGAAATGCTACAGGCTAAAGTAAATAGTGTTTCCGTCGACCTCCATAATATGGCATAATATTATTGGTAGCGTTTATTTTTGTCACGATTTCGTTTTAAAATGTTTAATATTGTCCCACGGTTTTTCCCCCCTCAACCTTTGGTACTTTAGGGACAGGAATGGTGTTTTATTTAATCAGATATCACCTGCCCAATCAATCGACCCGGTTTCTGCCGCAACCAAATTGTCAACCCTTCATGATTTCGCACGAGCCAACTCTGATATCAAATGCACTGAAATTCATTATCAGAGGATCACCGTTATTTAGCAGATTCAAACAATATGTGTCATGATTCATAAATACAGAAAGTTCATATTTGTTTTATTGATAAATGAAGATGAAGTGGTCGGAATCAGCCTTGGTTTTCATCTTTTTATCATATACCTGTGTATATGTGTCCGAAAGAATCTTATATTATTCCCGCAAATAAGTTATATTAACAGTGCGCAGAATATAATTTGTCAATGAATATATATATAAACTTTCCCATTTCTTGTCAGTTATGAAGGGAAATTGACATTCGAAAAGGAAATACGAACGATTTAATCATACGTTAAAATCATAAAATGTCCTAGTGTGCTTCACATTTCATTATAGACTCATCGAAATATTGGACCTCCATTGTTAATTAACCGTATTAGAAACGTAATATGTGATCACATAATTAGATGCTCTAGCAGACCGTGATGTCATTTAACAAACTGAAACATTTATTTTTTCACACATCACATGATCAAATAATAGGAAGAATAATATAGTTTATTTTCAAATAGTCTGCAGAACATGTTACGTTTGGACCTGATTGGAAGGTTAATTAGTTTAATCAATTAATACGGCATTGTTTATCTGCACAGGTAATTAATCACTGCCCCTTTTATGTGTACTAACGTGTTTTCGGTCACACATTGATTTTGGTATATAGGAACAGCGGGTCAACTCAAACACGTCACCCCTACAGCCGCTGGGGAGGTGAGACATTGAGATGGGCCCTATAGAGTATATGTCGCCCTGGCCCCGTCTTGATCCTTTGGGTCCCTGATTAAGCCCCTTTCGGTGTTCCCACGGGTGAGCACTGTTTTTTTCTATAAACAGGTAGGTGTTATCTACCTGGCGCCGTAGCCCCTTGATTAGGGCACCTGGGCACCGTCGCGCGATCATCAATAAGCTAATCAATTAACACCCGTGCCTTGCTTTGTCAGGACACGGGAGATCGTTGATTTAATTAGCCACGACAATAGGTTTATCAACAGGTGAAAGTTACCTACCTGAGCACCTTACAATGGGGCCAAATTATCGCCACGGATCAGGCAACCCCTCAAAAGTGTCAGGGCCGATCGCTTACAAATGGCCGAAATCGTGGTCTGTCGCTGAAAATCCTTGTTTTCCGTACAGTAAATTGCCGGTATCGTTATACTAATAGCCTTAGCAAGGTACTACATCGGGGTCAGGTAACGATAACATGACCTTTTATCGGTATGATATAACAAATTGTAAAACTTATTATGAAAATATTATTGTTTTGTATATATATCCGTCGGGAAAATCTATGCAGCAGGTGCATTATAATTTTTATGCATATAAGATTGATGAATAACGGTACTTTTCTGATCTTAACTTCACCTGCTTCGTATGTCTCATGAAAATGAATAGTGTGTAATTGTCTGCTTTTCATTTTTATTTTAGAAAGGACATTTTGTAAGGAAAAAGAGATGTATTTTGAATTTAAAACATTAACGACTAAGGTTTTTATGTTAAGTTGCTATGGTAAACGGTCTTACCTGTGCGGTTTTTTTTACCTGTGAAGGTGTGTCTTTATACAGTGCGTGCTGTCTATCCATACAGCCTGCATATGAAGGAGCGACCTCATGTTTGTCAACTTTTAATTGCAGAAGGAAAATATATTTAAATAAAAAAAATCGTGACGTGTTGTGTAAGGGCAGTATGTGATTCATATAAATGGGTTTCGATTCGCTGACGCTACAGGTGCGAGACAGAAAGACAAGTGTGGTAATTCAATATATGGACGGCACTCATCATAAAGATATCTCTGCTATAGTAAATAACCTGTTGGTTTTAGTTTTCACCTATATGCAAATTACCTTCAGCTGGCGCGCTCAACGAGAAGATACACTCGAGTGCTTCAAGGTTGCCCGGCACACTTTGGCTCGTGCCGACCGCTGTCACCCGCCGCTGATTGGAGGAGTGGGAATCTAGGCTCCGCCTCTGTCGCGCGGCTAGATGGGGTGATTGACGAGGCGCACTCGAGCGAGACGCCCGCAACACGACGTACGTTTTGTAACTGCATCTTCTATGTAATGGAATGTCGAATATACTATCGTAGTGCAGCGCATCGTGCTATCGCTCAATCGCACCAACACGGTACCACGCGTTAGATTGTACTGTGCACGAGTAGTCCCTCTTACAGTTGTACTTAACACGAGAAAACCATCACTCCATTCGACATATCACTGACATAAGGACGAAACACCTGTATTGTAATTAACAGCCGAACATCTTAATTACAAATCACAGTAGCATCATAAATAGGGGATTACGGAGATGTTGGTTGAGAACAGGTACCTTTACACACAGACAGACACCTGTCAGTCTGACTAATTAGCACAGGTAATTACACACGGCTACTATTTCCGTATACAATTTCTTTGATAAGTTTTACTAATATTTAACCGTTGACAAAGTATTAATTTCCAGTGGGTTTAGGGGATGACGGTGATAAGATTTCGCCATTAATATTTTTTAATTGGATAATTTGACCTACAGGTCGTTACCAAGTTTCCTGGAGACGATCGGAGTTTCGAGTTCATCAGAATGTGAAATCAGTTTTTTTCTTTGCCATTGATTTAAGTTTGAAATAAACGCCCAGATGTCGAGACTATAAAGAGCCAAACAGGTGCCTCAAAAATATCTTATCCATCACGCCAGAATCATGAACCGTGTCTTCCCGCCAAAATTCGCCGTAGCTTTTAATTACCTATGTGTATCAGGCCGAAATTTATCCTCAAAGATGATGAATTTTATCTCGACTCGCAATCGTCGAATAATAAAACTGTTGCTTCAAACAGCGCGTGCCGCTCTCCTTATTTGGAAGGTAATTTGCATCGGTAAAGGCAGGTCAGAGCGACAGGTGTTTTGATAGGGACAGCTGAAGACACGGAACAAGTTGCTACCTCGACACAAACACAAAAGGCGCGGAGCGGCTGAGCACGTGCCAGCGTAGAGAGCCGATCTCGGAAACAACTTGTGGATATTTATGTTGAAAACAATGTCTCAAATATTAGGATTAAACTTCGGACTTATTTCTAATCAATCAGGTAGGTGATTGTTTTAGCCGTATAACGAAGGGGATGCTTCTCTGTCGTTTATACCTCCCCAATACCCTGTACCTTCAGTCGTGTGTATACGACACTTCACCGACAGATGTGTGCCCTATTTTTTTCCGGTTTGAAAAGGATCACGAACTTGACAACGATTTACCTGGAGTATTTACCTGTTTAAACCCTCCATCATAACGCTCGGAAGCCTTGAACCGCGTTGCTACCTTTATCCGTATAGCTAATATCCTAGGCATACAGATGTGTGTTTATTTTATAGCCGATACTTTTTGTTTGTTCGTTTTTGTTACCTGTGGCACTTTCTGCCTGTTGCACGTTCTTGTTCGTGTGTAAAACCGGCACGGACGGGCAAACACGTGTGCTTATGAAACGGGGCACAAATCGATTGTAATTCGTGAAAGAGTCGATCTTTTATCGAATTGAAGTCTTATGTGGAAAGGTATCGATATTTAAATTATGTAAACGTTAATTTGTGTATATAATGTAAACTAACAAATGGTAAAGTATTACCTATACAGGTAAGCAAGGATGTGGCGATTGTGTATAATGTACATGTGTCCTTGTGTATTAAGAACGAGACAATTGTCTAAGACAATATTCACCTGTACGAGTATATATAAAGTTAAACCAGTGTTTAAATAGGTTCAATTCAAACCTCTGAGTCCATTCGTTTATCACCGACAATCACTATTGTAGATAACTGTCAATCAACGGTGGGCGGAGCCTAGCCAGAACGAGGCCTTAGCCAGCTACCTACAATAATTTGTGCCGAGTACGACTAGTAAACATCAGGATGAGGGGGACGAGTACACGCTTCGTTGTGCTCTGGTTTATTACATTACAACTATCTATGGTAAGTCAGTTATTTATCTTTGTTAAACGTTATTCATCACTAAGTTTCATTTGTCTGTTTATTGTGATTTTATTTTATTTTTTATAATATTGTAAACCAACACCGTTCTACGCTACTTTGTATACCTACACCTCGGAGCATGATTCGACTACAAGCTAACGTACTATGTACCGGTACAAACTATAGTAGTTCTATATATATACATTGTTAATTTTTTGTATTTTATTCATTTTACAGGTTACGTGTACAGCAGTGTTCGAACTTAAATTATCATTATTTAAAAACGAGGACGGATTAAATACCGACGGTAATTGTTGTAATGGATTTCGTAAGGATGGGAAGTGCAGTGATACCTGTCGGACTTTCTTCTGGATCTGTCTTACGCATTATCAAAAGACGATACCCGACGATGCCTCTTGTACATTTGCCAGTGTTACAACACCTATTTTGGGATCTAACTCGGTGAATTTTAGTGCTCAACTGCCCGTCAAATTTGACAATCCTCTTGATTTCTCCATTCCTTACTCCTGGCCGGTAAGTCAGCATCAGCAGCTAAAGCGTTGTTTACACACTCGTAATTTGTTTACTGTGCAAGTCTTAGTACAACTGATCCTACACTTCCTTCAGTGCATGTAGTACACTTAGGAAACACGTAGTGTGGTTTTAGTTCGGCGACAGTTGGAGTTGTGTTTTATGACGTAGTAACACACTGTTGTGTACCCACGGCTCGTTGACAATCGCCATCAGTCTTCTACTGTCATGTGTCTCAAAACCAGTACAGTTTAAAAATTAGATCACATGTTTGACGGAGTATAGAAATAAATATAGTTATCATCATGTCAGTATAGTTTTCAGTATAGTTATCATGTCAGCATAGTTATTGTCATGTTACTATAATAACTGTCATATTAGTCGAGTTACTGTCTCATCAGTATGGTTATTATCACGTCAGTATGGTTATTACAATGTATAACATGCGTATAGTTGTCACATCACCTCAGTATAGTTGTTATATAAGTACAGTTATTGTCACAGTATAGTTAGTACTATGTCTGTATAGTTATTGTCTTGTCAATATAGTTATTGTAACAACAATATAATAATAATAATAATAATAGTTAAGTGTCGCAATTTAGTTTATGTTATATCTTTAAAGTTGCTGTCAGTGTAATTTCTGTTACACCGGTAATGCTATGGGTGTGTCTTGTTGCTGTGGTATCGCTATGGATATCTGTCATTTCGATATCGCTATGGAACAGTAAGATACCACAGTATTGATTTGCACTAAGTATACCGCTACGAGCGGGAAACAGCTTGCTATCCAAACCATAATACCTCGCCTTTCCTTTTTACTGTTAAGATGTCGGTAAACTCTTTTATCAGGATTAATTTTCATCTTTCTCTGTGTTTTAGGGTACTTTCTCTCTGATTGTCAACGCCTACCACGACACGACGCTGAACGGTCCCGCACAAGGTACGTATTCTACCCTTCCCCCTCGCCCCCTCCCCATTTCTCTTTTACAGCTTGGGACTTACCTCTCGCGTGGATTACTTACGATTGTGAAAACCTGGATATTCTGTGCCCATGATGATTCTGTGTTGGGAATGTACGCGTGTGTATTAAGTGATTGTGTAACGGACGTGGAGTCTATATCTACTGGACCCCCTCCCCTGGTACGCGGGGGTAACAGTCCCGCGACAGGGCCGTTAATATCGTCCCTTATCAACAAATGGCCCGGGGCACGTGTGTAAGCGGGCCTATGGATCTAATCAAAACGCGCAACAAAATGTCTGATGTAAAAAAAGCCTGGATCGTAATATGGGATTATGTGTGATGTTGGTAACCGTTTGTGCACTAGGCAAGCAACCAGGAAGTCGACGTGTTTTTTTCCTGTAAGGACGTGTAAAGGCCGTGCACTGTTGCAGACACGCGACCTTACCCCTTTTCCAAAAGCTGTCGGAGTACATTGGAGTAGTAGTACATATTGTAATAGGGGCGGTGTTTGGTTGTCGTCTGCAGGTCCGGATTTGGGGCCGTGAGACCCCGACACATGGCCGGTAAACAATAGCTCTACCGGCCTGATCTATAAACTCATCGATCCCTGGCAAATTGTCTTTGAAAACACCTCGGGATTATTGGGACATTGTATATACACAGAGCTTTGTAACACTATTTAGTCTGATACAGAGCCAGACTGGGTATCCACACACAAAATAGCTTGTACATGGACAGTTGTAGATCTCCACCCCGACCCCCGGGTTGCGTCAGCTTTCGGAGTATATATATATATATATTCCCATAAGACATAAGTCATGTCGTTGATCAGAACAAGGTCCCACTGGCGGGCACCTTATCCGGGGCGGGAGGTAAAACTAGGTACTATTAAACGATTGTTGAGATCGTCTGAAAACAAAGCTACTCCCATCTCCCTACCTAGATATTACCCAAACGTGATATATTCGCAGATGAATGCTACCTCCAGTGTCTGATGACTTTCCGTATCTAAGTCGCGCTTCCGTAATAGGAGTAGCAGACATGCTGAATTGACTATGAAACTGTCTCCTGATTCGTAGATCGAGTTATTGTCCAACATCCAATAAATACATACGATAACTGATGGACACGGATAGCATTCAGTATATATCCAAATCTGTCTAAAATAACTTCAAAAACATGTAACCAAACTGTATTTTGTCATCGATGTCATATTAATTTTGTAATTGAACGAGATTCAATCTAAAAACGTTTTTTTTTTTATACCAAATTTGGGTTTTAAACAGCAAACCCACAAAGGATATGAACATTTTGAGGATAACGCCCAATTCTTTTACATCAGGTCATAAACACGAGTTCACAACAATAACACATAATCTTCCCTATAAGCTTGTATGACGTTCACTGGGTAATGGTTACTGTTGTCAGGAACTATACTTCAAATCCATTTAGTTAAAATTGAAACGTAAACGAAACTAATCCCAAGAAGGTCGACCTTAACCAATGGTCATCTTACCAAAATAACATATTTTTCTGAACTGAACGCCTCCATTGTTTACCATTGCTAGTTGTTAGGAGTTTTCCCAGGGATTCCAGCGCTATACCCGAGCCGGTTTTTGTAAACACTACCCTTTCCCATGCCATCACTCACGTACCCCACTTTAATTTACTATCCAGCGATCGTGAAGAATAGGCCATTTTTTGCTCGAGTCGGGTTTAATTGTGTAGTATTGTGGGGGGAGAATGGAGTAGGGGCGCTTCATCAACAAAGGAGGGACCTGTAATTCTAGCCCAGTGTCTGGCAGGGGTGATGGTCATCCGTGGATAGCGTGACAATACGGATTAGGGTAGTGATGGAGGGGCACGCTCGCCTGGCCCCACCTGGGTCATTAGTAGTCCCCTCCTGTCACCTAGCCAGGTATCGTCCAGGTAGCGCGTTCTCACGCTCCCATGTCTGTCTATTTACAGGAAGCCCCAGAGAGCTCGTGTCGACCTTGAAGACACAGAGGTCATTGGATGCTGGAGGGAACTGGCTCTCGTTCACACACTCCACGAGGTATACGGAACTCAACTACAGTTACAGAGTATACTGTGACGACAACTATTATGGTTCCGAATGCTCCAACTTCTGTCGACCCCGAAATGACCCGTTTGGACATTACAGGTGTGACGAAACAGGCCAGAAAGTGTGCGTGGAGGGATGGGAAGGTCCTTATTGCGACAGAGGTAAATATATATACGTGTATGCTCAAATACTAGCAAATGTCTATATAATGTAAATAATCACAATTACATGTAGGATAAGATATATACTAGCTTTTAAATTAAGCACCATTTTACCTCCCCGTCCACACACGAAGCTCAAATTAACACATCTAGGCTCAAATTCACGCATCTGTGCTTAAATTCACATATCTAGACTGAAAAAAACATTTGTGGGCAGTAATGTTTGCAGACAAATGCACATAATCTCAAATATTCAAATTTAATGATAAGTATTTGGGTCGTAGGATAATGGCTATTACCAATTTAAATTTTTGTATCAACTGGCGACACATAGGTCCAGAAATACCCTCGAATATGCGTTTCTTCAGGCAGTACTCGGCTTTTACAAGTTATACACACATACCCACTCAATTTACCCTGAAATAGCAATGTTTGTGTACGCAATCCTCAAAATACGCTTGAATACCCGTTACAACAGACAACAAACGTCACATAACGAAATCGTTACAAGTTGTATGCGCTCCATCTTGTCCTGCGATACCCCCTTGGCATAGGTAGGCTGTAGTTCTGTTTTCTGTCTATTTCTTTGCATAAAATACACCCAGGGTGTGTATATAATCTCAAATACAACATGTTAGAATCGACAACATTTGATTTGAAACTGACATCATCTTAGTGTTCCGGTTGCCAGCCCCTTCTAGTGCATAGATTGTAGACCGTTATATCGTGTTAAGGTTGACATCACTGTATACCTGTAGAAAACATCCAAATCAACATCATTATATACCTGTAGGAATCGATCAAACCATTCAATCAACATCACTTTATACCTAGAGGAAACATCCAAATCAACATCCCTATATACCTGTAGAAAACATTCAAATCAACAGCACTATATACCTGTAGAAAACATCAAATTCAACAACACGATATACCCGTAGAAACCGTTCAAATCAACATCACTGTCACTGAACAATTTTACTACATCAAACTCGACATCACTGTAGGAAACATTTGGGTCAATATCACTGTATGTAATGAAGACTCAAAATCCTGGATCACACTACAATGTATCCGAGTAAGATCAGCATTACCGTAAATATGTCGCCACCTAGTTAACAGCAGTGAGGCTGTGTAGATCATGTAATAGCAGTGGAAACAAAACATGCCTGTAATATTACTTTCAAAAGAATGTACCAACCAATAAACCAGACAAAAGCCAGCTAAACAATACACGCTCAACATCTCCGGCACTGCCTACGACAGCATACGTGTGGTCAATAGACGCTATAGAATTGCAAGTCTGTACACAAATTTGTCTGAAATACAACACGTACAATTGTAGTTCAAACATTTAGCACCCATTCTTCATTTTTACTTCTGTGAACGAACAATAATGTATACGACAAAGTATTAAATACTTTCCTGTTATATTGGCACTCTAATTGAATATATTCGAATTATGTCATACATCATACAGAGGGAGACAGCTTTAAAGTTTTTAATAATATCCGCGTGTAAAAGTGTAAATGTTGAATACTAGAAAGTGGGTATGAGACGTTTCCCACCTGAACTAGATAGCATATCAAATATCCAATGAAACGTAGCGTCTGTGCCATCTGTTGCTTCCCGCCCGATAGCAGACGACTGACTCCACCGTAATCTGCCGACAAACCTAGCGGACAATTATGACTAGTGTTTTATCGTAAATCAACCAACTACCTTTAAGTAAAACCGTGGAATGGTTAGAAAATCGATTGCTCAGAACAGACATATACACGCGATCATGTGAAAGTTTGCCTATGGTTTTCCCGTACAGCGAGATGGTACACCAACCTCATCAATAAAATATTGTATGATGGTTGTGTGTTTCCACGTTTACCTGCCCAACAGTGGCTGTCGTAGTACCGGTGTTTTAGATGTAGTAGCGAACCGAACACGCCCTCGGGTAAAAATTACGGTGCATGAGCGCGACCCGATTTGCATGAATCGAGAATTGAAATGTTTTGGTATATGACCACAATAGCGAGCTCTGTGTACGTGTCTACCCGTGGATGTCGACAGCTGGGCGAGCATTCCGTCACTCGGTTCCGTACAATGGCGGGCAGCTGGCCTGCTGACTACTGACTCAGTCCTAGCCTACAGATGTCACTGTGCAGTTTACTTCCCATAGCTAGGCATTGTTATCCCCTCCACACGTGCAAACAAAACACATTTTCGTGCACATGATGATGTTTATAAGTACTACCGTACAATACACGCGCGTACATATCAATCACTTACAACAGCGAGAAATGACAAACACTTAGTACACAGTAGTATTAGCACACAGCAATGACAAAAACACTCATAACATCATACATTGAACCAAATTATATCTCTTGAAATATTTTTTCACGGAAGCAAATTAGAAACCTGAAATAATTGTTATATATTAGTTCTGACTGTTTAAAGTTATGACTGACTTAAATGTTAGATATTATCGGTTCGCTTTAAAACTTTTATAACGCAGAACAAAGGCCCGGTCTGGTGGGGGATACTGGTCACCCCATTACCGCTCCCAGACCAGGCTAGCCGCGCACGTGTTTTTTAAGAAGCCGAGTTTTAATTGAGAACACACTGTATGTAGGATGTTTAGATTACTTTCTCAGGAAATTAGAAAATAAAAAGTCGGGTGATAATGGCGTTATAATGAACAGGTCGGGTTAGGAGACCGTCAGATACACATGAAACATGCAATGTTGGGTCGCCAGCTTTTCTAATAAAGTGTGTTCCGAGTGATCCATGTTAAACAAAGTTTAATGGTAGAACTTTTCTCTCCTTTCAGCAATCTGTTTACCGGGTTGTCATCCAGACCACGGCTTCTGTGACGCCCCGTACGAATGCAAGTAAGTTGAAAAACCGAGTTTCTCTTCCCAGGCACGCACTAGCAACCCCTCGCGCTCGGCAGCCATGATTGATTTGAATGAGAAAACAACATTCAACTGATGGCGTTCTCAAGCCATAGTTTGTAACGAATCGTTGCGTTGGAGGATTGCATGTTTAGTGTGAACATATTCATACCGTGAAATGCACGTGCTGCCGTTTACAATTCTTACAACTTGTCAGCTGATATGATCTAGAGCCACACCAGTTCTGCCTATAGTTTTACTAAATAGCAGTGCACGTACCAATCGAGTCTACACGTGCTAGCTGCCCAAATCGTTCACGTGTAGAATAGGTTTCCCCACTGAAAACCATCTCTGGTGGCAGGCACTTGAAACTTTTATGAGTAGCCCTGTAAATGATTTAATGCACTTCCATAAATGTCAGAACAGTTTGAATATAGTATCCCTTTTATCCTTAATACAATAATGAAAACAACATTTCTGACCACTGCAAGAGTTTCAAAGACCATGACTGGTTTAGATAGTTTAAGAGTTTTGTTAGACACTGAACCGAATATATAATAATCAAAACAGTGTTCTTGTAATCATCATTATTTTTGTTAAGCTATGATTTGAGTGCTAATGGTTGACCTGGTGTTTCAGTTGTCGGATGGGCTACAAGGGTACGTTCTGCGAACAATGCGAGAAATACCCCGGATGTATGAACGGCACGTGCACGAAACCATGGGAGTGTATCTGTGAAGAAGGCTGGGGAGGACTCTTTTGCAACCAAGGTACGACATCTTTACAAAACATTAGATCTAAATGTTAAAATTAATAGAAACAGAATTGCTGAAAAGGCTAGCACTGTAATAAAAAGTATTCTGGTATTTAGAAACAGAAACTTTTCTGATTGTAAAATGCTGTGTCGTGCGTTTCCAAGCTCATTAATATGAATTTAAAATATCCATGAAGACATGATACCGACATCTTGTAATGTTTTCGGGTTTATAACGTTGAACAAGTGTAAACGCTCTCCTCCTCACATTGTGTAGTTATTGCTGGTTTGTGATATGACACCCTGTCACAATGTCCCTCTCTTCTCTTACAGATTTGAATTTCTGTACCCACCATTCGCCCTGTCGTAATGGTGGAATCTGCACAAACACCGGTCAGGGGAGTTACACTTGTACCTGTCAGTCCGGCTTCATGGGTACCAACTGCGAGATCGAAATGGACGATTGCGAACAACAGCCATGTCAAAATGGCGGCACCTGTCAAGACTCGGGGACCGGCTACAAATGTAAATGTCCCGACGGTTTTACGGGCAGACGATGCGACACTCTAGCGGTGTCGTGCGAGAATGAGCCGTGTAAGAACGGTGCTCCATGCGAGAACACAAACACCAGCTACAGATGCACTTGTCTTCCCGGATATACTGGGTACAACTGTGACGCAGAAATCAACGAATGCGCAGCCTACCCCTGTCTGAACAGTAAGTTCAACTATCAGTTTTTGGTTTACTGGTTCAAATTCTGACTCCAATTGGAGTGTCGTCTCATAGATGCTTTCTCATTTTCACAATAAGACGCAATTGTTCTTAGCCTTCTGGGTAATAGGGTTTGCAGATGTGGGTAGAGTTGTGGGTAGAGTTGTGTGGAAATGTGTCCTTGGAATATGCCTCTGACACCACGGGTTGTAGTGTTTCGGGTTGTGTTACCATGGGTATTTGTATATCTTGTAGGTGTTTTGATGTATAATTTGGTACCACTGGTATTGGTAGTGGTACCAGGTGTAGTGATATCTTCCTGGAGCACGCTGTAGTGGTAGATTTGTCCGTGGTAGGGATTGCAGAGTAACTACTGTAGCATATATGTCTCTGGGTTAGTAGGGTACTGATTCTGGCACGGTAGTTGGAACACAGCAGGTGTCGCTACAGTAGTACGAACTACTGGGATACCAGCACAGCTCTCAATAACACACGCTCACCGATTTCACTACAAACACTAACCATCTTAGAAATGGACTTACTATCTTTCAGTGCACTTCTTACGACCTTGGCATTTCTCAGTTTTGTTGGAAATACATGCCGTGCAGGTAGATTTTACACGCGTCTTACTCGTTCCAAATGAGTTTGCTGGGATCATCATGATTTTGGGTCTCACTTGTCCACTAGTTTTACTTTAACCTGTAATACTCCCAGTGGTTTGACTGGGACCGTGTTCTGTGTAGGTGCTTGTGCTTTGTAATGGGGTTTGCTGCAGCCTCATCCATTCCAAGTTTAACAGGACATCCACATTCCAGCGTCAATAACAATAACACGGGTTTACGCACAAATACTACCACATGGCAGATATTGTGCATTGTAGGTATTCCAGTATTGATCGCGCTGTATATATGCATTGGCATGTGGCTAAATGGAGCAGAGATTTTCACATAGTCTGTGTATGAAATGTTGGTCCAGTTTCCTACCAGGAATAGATCTCGTATGCCTACTACAAACGAGACCGGGGAACCCTTGTGCAGTTGGGAGCGATTTGTTGCCTTTGTTGTTGTTGTTGTTGAGACAAAGAAATACAAAAATGCTTTTCATTAAATTACACTGGAGAAGAAGAAAAAATCCTCTACTGTTTTCTGGGGCTTGCAGGCAAACATATGTCTCGCCGTCTGTTGTAAAAGGCCTCGGGTGTCAATCCAAGTTTGAAACAACAGAAGGTTTGACAGATTCTTGCCATAGTAGTTTTGTTTCTCCCTTGCCAAACAGTTTACCTACAGAACAAGGCCAGATACTGCCGATGGCTTCATAGCAAAACAAACAAAAAACTGTCCAGTTAATGTAATGTATCTGTATTGGTGTGATTGGTTATGTGTTTATCACGGGGAGATTGATGACAAATCGATAAGGTTTCTGGGCCAGGCCAAAGTAGGGTAAATCAGTTGTACTCTAAACAACAATGGCCAGTACTCTTACCGCACTCAAATGGCCAGGACGTGGTCCATATATCAGTTATGCAATCATGCACTTTATATGTTCCACATTACGGCCTTCTCTTATGCAATTTAGATTGGTTATATTGGTGTGTGTGTTCTGTTGCCTGTAACCCAGGGAGGCTTTATTGCCCACTTTCCATCTGTTCTACGATCAGTCAACCATTACCTATACAATTGAATTAACGGTCCATGTGTTTTTTCCCTGTTACAGAAGGCCGATGCGTGGACGAATTGAATGGCTACAGGTGTGTGTGCGCGGTCGGATTCCAGGGCCAGCACTGCGAAGAGAACATCGTCGATTGCAAGCAAAACACGTGTTTGAACGGAGGAACGTGCAGGGACCGAATCAACGGGTTCGAATGCCACTGTATTCCCGGCTTTGTGGGATCGCTGTGTCAAAAGGATGTGGACGACTGCGAGCTCCGGCCATGTTCCAACGGTGGCACGTGCCACGACAAGGTCAATGACTTCACGTGCGATTGTCTCCCGGGTTTCACTGGCAAAGATTGCCGCGTGATTAAGAACGAATGTGAAAATGACCCTTGTAAGAATGGCGGCAGTTGTATGGATCTCCTTAATGACTTCCAGTGTTTGTGTCTGTCCGGTTTTTCCGGCAAAGATTGTAGAATTACGGACGACACGACACCTAACCAAAACGGCTCCATAATAAACGTGGTCAACGAAATCAAACAGAGTGCCGAGGAGGAGATTACCATGATGCAACTTGTGCTTATCGTGTGTCTTGGTGTCGGTATCCCGCTTCTCCTTCTCATCATCGTTGTGATCTTCTTCCTGCTGAGGAAGAGGAACCCCAGCCCCGCGGAACCACACGCGACAGAGAAGGAGCAAAATCTACAAAACAGTCATATCAACAACAAACTAGAATCGGGCATATTTACGACGGGTCCACTGCCACAGAGTGGTCCTGGCGTGTCCAATGTGAAAACAACAAACGAAGACAATGACTTCAACACGTTCAAACCGGGACACAGTAGTTATTACGAAAAACCAACAAATAAGCAGTTTCTGTATAGCAAAGACTTAAATACAGAAAAGTTTGCAAAGACTCCCCCTCCTCCCCCGCCTCCCAAAGACATTAACATTAAACATAGTGAGTGTTACGACACCGACAACTCTTCGGGGAGTAACTCCATAAATGATGTCAGGTAAGTCTTTTCGTCTGTTTACTTGATGTTCTCGTCCTCAATACTGGTGACAAAATTCGTGCCATATTGTTCTCTACCAGATATTTCGTCTTCATTTGCCGTGGGAAAAATCTTGCTGACAAGTCAGCTGATAAATTCCAATTAATATTTTATCAGTTACGCTTCTTCCAAGCTGTTTGATGCCGATACGGCTTAGTTAATGAGATACTGGTTGGATTCAGCCATGCTTATTGTGACATGATCGAATGTACTAACGTGACCTCTTTTTCTATTTTTCAGTTGTTACAACACAGACATACACATCATTGGGAGTTCTCGGACACTTAGCAAAGACACAAATAGACACTCAGCCTCCATATTGGAGCAACACGCGCAGCACGTGCCTCCGCCCCATCATCCGCACGTGCATCGACAGTCGTTTTACGGTGACGAGGTGCTAGCGACGGAGGTATAGCACCTCTTCAAATGGACACCTTTATACATTTCCATGTCTCTTGCAATATACCAGGATGTAATAACTATTCTTTGCTAAACAGATATGCATATTTTGGAATTTTGATTTAAAGTGCCTTTTGTGTTTTTTTGTACAGTGAAATTAAGCGCGAAATATTGTTTTTTTTTCACATTGATACCAAATTTAGATTTTGGAATTGTGGATGTTTCTGTCTCCCGGAGCGGCGCACTCAGATGGGAATTATTAGGCTAAAAGCCAGATTATGCAACTCTACTTTCGCTGAGTGGACGGCAAGGCCGTAGTTTCTGTTGACATAAGTGTGCTCCCACTTTGGACAATGTGTATGTGTTGGTCCTCCAGATATCGGTGCTTGAGCCATCTGTCACTATGGGCACTGGCCTGCTTGACCACAATGGAAATATCGGACAATGTATAAAGATATAAACGCTGGACACACGAACTTGTGATAACTTTGTCAATCCATCCATTTAGATTTATTTATTGGCTGATTGTGTAGGACCGGAAGTGACTGGTTGTCCTGGTCACGTGACCAAACATGGCTACTATGTTTTTCCGTTTCTGCATGGACATTTCTTAATTTTGTTGAATCTTTGCATGAAGACGTTTTGTTGAAAGTTGTGAATGTGTTTTTTTCGTGTGCGTGGAAGTGTTTGTTGATTTGACTGAGTTGAAGATTGTTTTTGGTAGTGTGCAAGTGACGGTCTATATTGAATATTAAATGAGCAGTATTTAATTACTTCCAGCCAACGCATAGAATAAATAGGGCATGCCGGGATACATTTTTGTATATCATGGGATTTTGTTAATTTTTATCAGAACCGAGCACTTGTTCAATACATTGTTAAAAAGCAAAAATCTATAACTATTTAGTTGATAATGTTGATGGAAAACATGCTTGTAAGTGTTATAATTTATTGTATATTTATTCCATTGGCCAGCCGGTGAGAATCCCGAACAATTCCACTGCGGGGACATACTTACTGAAATCACTATGTGGAACCAAAGGCGCTCATCATTTATATTGAACAAAGAACGCTGAGATCGTGTGCACCTCGCTGTCCATTATTTATGCCTCCTTTCTCCGTTCTTCTTATCCTCTCATTCATACAGGTCTGGGTAGTAGCCAGGCGATTTTTTATAACGTACAACATACATCTTTATCCTTCCCCCAAATTCCCTAACGGACGAGCGAGTTTGCACACGGCCTTGGTAAACGGGCGTGGCAGAAAGTAGCCACGTCCTCTTCCATCATTCCAATGTACTTATATGGGAACAAGTAATGCTTGTCTCCAAAGTAGTTTTTTCATGAGATTTCATCTGCTGGAGCGTCGTAACTACATATCACATTCGAATTGTTCATGTCCATTTTCATCGCTATTTTCATCACTTTCATCTGATGAGTTAAACGGTTGCTCTGTCGTTACGTTGGTTACATAGGGGCGTGGCTTGTTGCCATGGCGCCCGCGACTAATTGCCTGTGATGTTGTACATAGAATGTATATTTATAGAAGAACCGGATGTATATATATCTGTTGATGCCATTATTATCTAGTGGTAATTCACACCATCATGAAATAATAAAAAGGGTCACAATTGACTATTTTTCAAAGAATTTCAAATCTTCACTTTTTTTATCACAACTATTTTATTCCATCACACAAGCTCAAAGGTGGTTCATACATATTCAGATACTGTTGTTTTCTTCATTTAACCATTGAAAAGAAAATTACCGATTACTGTGAAATGAGAATCACGGTGAATTTGACTTACAGTACGTTGTATTATATGCAAAGCGTATGTTAATAAAGTTCGCAAGTGTTTGTTATCTCTCTTGGAGATAAGAAGCCAGGTATAAATAGAAAAAGATCCTCCTATGATTCCGGAATACTTCGTCTTTTTCCGACAATCTCCGTATGTGAAAATTATGAAATTGTTCAATTGTTTATGGCCGAAGGGGGATCTGCTTTCATTGCAGCACCTTAGTAACAATATTTTCTCACGTTTGATTTTATGATTAAATTGTTGATAGCTGTTGTTGAATAGTTTCCGTCATTCTTCCCGCTTACGCATTGCTAAGCTAATCGGCCTTTGAGGAATTTTACCGGGTTATATACACATGACAAACACGCGGGGCCTGTGGTCCAAGATCGAACTGTTTACAACGCTGTACCCAATAGTCATAGCGCAACATCTGTAAAGAGCACGGCTGATTGACAGGATTAACCAAACTCATTTGAATATCAGTGGATTAACGTAGACGTATTGGTATACACATAAATAAAGTTAAATGTATGCATTTGTTCACTGGCTCCTGTAGAGATCGTGTGACATTGTTCCGAGAGCTGTTTTGTCACGACTCGCGGATGATGGGGATGGATTCTAGGACTGGAGTCAACATAGGAGATGTCACGTGCATTGTATGAATGAAACACGAAAAGAGGATTACAGGACCAGGGATATATGTATAGATCATAGGGTCTTGAGAATCAGTACAGGATGTGTTTGGGCTCTTCCTGACGTGTAGGGAGAGGTATAGGAAAGGTGCTAGGGAATTCTGTTGAAATATGCACCTTAAATGATGGTATATGTGTTTTTTATAGAGTCATGAAGTTAACCCGTGAAATGTATAATAACGAATTTAAACTCAGTAACTGATTCTCAGGTCCCTGTGGTATAGATTACAATCACTACCAGAGTTGTTGTACAATCACCGGACATCGAGCGTGCAACAAATTCTCTTTATTTGAAAATAAAAATATAATAGCTCATGGCCGCATGAAAAAAAATCCCCAAAAATGTAAGGACAATGCGAAGTCTGTGATGTTTTTAAGAATAAAGCATTTCTTCTTTAAATGCCCTTTGAAAACCATTAACAAAAACTAAAACATGTTGACATAACATCCGACTCGGACAATCTGGCTGTTAGTCTCTCGTCTGACAATCTCCGTTAAACAGTCCCTAGAACTGGAGAGAGTTAGCCAGCATATATTGTACGGTTTCTAGACTTTATTATGTTGTAATTTTGTTGTTCTGTCCAACTTGCCATTAAATAACATGATATAATTATAACTGAGCTAAACATTTAAATTAAGTGGAATATAAAATAGAAACATGGTCGACAGGATTCATTTGCGAAACGTACTGTTATGGAGAGGTTTTGATTTATCAGTCGTTATGGCTGATTTTGAGCCACTAGCGATTCGCTTACGGAAGCTCGCAATAGGCTGCGTCATCATTATTACAGTTGAAATAATGAGGGGAAAAAACCCACGCTAGCAAGACGAATTTAGATGTCAGCACGTACCAATATAACGATGTAGTACGTAATGTTGCTGGATAAGTGTAGTGTCGTTTTAATTCAAAGTGAGGAGATCACAAATTGTGTTGCTGTGACAACAGAATAGCTTCACAACTGGAATCAGATGTTTAACATTAAAATCCTCTTAGACATGGTTTTATGTACGACATTCGTTTATGTGACTACAGTTTTGATTTTGTGTACATCACACGTGCGACACGTGACCAAAGCCGTGAATTGTGCACGTCCACAGTCACTACAACCATGGTTTTCTGTTCGTCACATGTCACAGTGACTAGGACCCTGGTTTGTGTGCGACACTGAATAGAATCGAAGTTTGGTGCAAGTCAAACGTCACAGTGAGTAGGGTCATGTTTTGTGTACGACACATTGAATAGAAAACAAAGTATGGTGCAAGTCAAACGGCACAGTGACCAGGATCATGGTCTGTAAACGTCAAAGTAAACAGAACCGAAGTAGTGTGTACGTCACGTCACAACATCTAGAATCTCAACTGTACAGTTGTAAACACTCAGTTACAAAGTTGGACAAAAACAAAAAAGATTTGACGACATTCCACAAGGCAATATTAAGACAGTTCACAATAGTATCTAGCGACTAAAGTACTTTTGGATGAGCAGGTTTTCTGCATGAAAACCGTTACACAGAATTCTTATCAAATGCAGCCAAAGTTTTGACAATTTTTGTTCTAAGTAAAATACCAAAGACTCGAGATCACAGGATGATTGTTCAACAAAAACAATTGTCTGCTACCGTCAAAGTGTACTGAATGAGATACCCGCGATCTTGTACCTACTTTTATGAGTCTCTGATACATATCCAACTCGTTATTCACGAGACGACCGATCCCGACGTGTTACATCATGATCAGCCGCAGTGACATCCACAACTCGACCAGGAAGTACGCAGTAGTGGTTCCACGTAGAACCTGTGGTCAGCTACGATACGGAGTTCGTTCATTACATGAAACTTCTTAATGTCGAAGTGAATGAAACCCAATTTTTGATATATAGAGTTGGCTTATTGCATCCAACTTCTTTAGGTCGAAGTAAATGAAACAAATGTTTATGAAACGGAGTTAGTTTATTACATCCAATGGCTTCATTATGTCGGAGTGATTGGAACACTTTTTTATGATATGTAGTTTGTTTAATTACAACACGCCTCTGTATATCGAAGCGATTGGAACAGATGTGTATTCCAGATATTTGGGTTCAGATTCATAACAATTATCTAGCGCCTTACCAAACTCGAATTCGAAATAAGTATGATATATCAAAAAAAAAATTTTTTTAGTTTAGTTGATATTAAGACACAGGCAAAAAAAAACGTTCGTTGTAGTTTTAAACCATTTTGACATGTTATTGTTATGAAAGCACAAGATTAAATATGCGAAAAGTTTTAAATCTGGTTTTTTTTTCATCAGACAAGTTCTAAATTTAAACTTATCTATTCGTGGTGCATTTTTAAAGGCGTCTGTTAATTTTTAGTGGTACCAGTGAAATTTTCTCCACAGTATACAAAAATATTAACACTTACAGCAACAGACCATTTAACTTTACATACGGTAAGTATACAACTTGTTATCACTAAAGAACCCTCTTGTACTGGTCGGACATACCAGTACAGCAGTACTGGTCAGTTCTGGAGTGACCTTTAGGTGACTTGAACACCAAATTGTACGAAGAGGAAATGGCCACTGCAAACACTTCACAACCAAAGGTTGTTTGGTAAATCAAAGGAAACAATCAGAAAAACCGCTACTTCATCTTATTAGGGATTTCTTAAGGATTAATTAAAGCCTTAGTTTTAATTTCCTCCCCACTGATTGAAAAAGTGAGACATAGAAAAGACTTGAAACGGATGCACAAATTGGTAACAATTAGAGCTAAGCCTGTGGCGAGAGGACGAAATGAACCACTGTCAGATAGCTGGGTTTAGAAAAGGACGGTAACGCCCCTTCACCCACAATCCTCACCACGAGGTGGTTTTGGTGACGTCATACTAGCACAGTTGCTTTGAAGTTATTTTGTTAGATATAAATTTAAAAAGACTATGTATTAGTAAAAGTCCAGCAGAACACTGATGTGTCACCGAGAACATGGCGTGGCACATGTATACCATCAATGGGCCACCGTAAACATGAAGTGGTATATCATTACAATGGGTCACAGTCAACATGGTGTTGTATACCATTATTGGACATGTCAACATGTTGTGGTTTACGATCACATGGTGTCACAGTCAACATGTTGTGGTTTACGATCACATGGTGGCACAGTCAACATGGCGTGGTTTACAATCACAGGTGTCACAGTCAACATGGTGTTTACAGTCACAATAACCTACAGTCAACATAGTGTGGTTTACGATCACATGGTG